AAAGTAAGAGGAGTTCACTGAAGGTAAAAGCAGTAGGAATGGAGAAGAGAAAATGGAAATGTGGGATGATGAACGGATACAATATGAGGGTGCAAGAGAGAAGGAGTTCAGAACACTCAGGTTTTCATCTTAGAGGAATAGGTACCACTCACCAGGACAAGGAATTGAGGGGGAGGAATGAACATTCAATCTGATAAATTAATCTATGCCTTGGAGAGTTTGTCTAAGAAGGCACCTAACCTTAAATAGGAAAGAGAGGGAAGCAGGAGTAGAACAAGGCTTTTAGAGCACTTTGTAAATATAAGACACCCCAAGAAGTAAACAGGTGACCTCTTCCCAGTGGGGTTTTATGCAGCTGTAAAACACACACACACACACACACACACACACACACACTCACACACACGAAACAACGAAGACCTCTATGAACTGAGGTGGGGGTAGTTTCCAGGATCTATATAATAAGTGTAACAAGCAAAAGCAAGAAAATATCCACAGCACCTTTTGTGTAAGAGAGAAAAGAAAAAAATAAAATATACATATATCTGGTTATCTGTGCAGAGAAGCAGCATAGTGTTGGAAGCCAGCTGGACCTCAGTATCTGACATGGCCAAGCTCACTGCAATTGTGACAAATTCTGAAGCTCTGAGAAACAGATACTGCTTTATATCTTAGAAGATTTAAATTCCCCTTTGGATGCCCCCCAGTAGGATGAAGATCTCACACCCCTTCTGATAGATATATTGCAATAATTGTATTTTATACACTAAAGGCAATTTTAGTCGAACTGCTAGTCTTTTAGTAAAGGTCAAATGTACACACCCTGTAAATCTGAAGATCCTGCTTAGACAATAGTGTTTAGAATAATTGTTGGGTGCTCATGGTAACCATTCTTTGGGCATTATGTAGAGGCTCAGCCTTGGTCCCATAGTCATTGTAGGTGGAGGGATTTGGACACAGTTAAGATAAGTTAGTCTTTAGCATAAGAAAAGGTCTAGCTGTACCCTGGAGCATAAGAATTATGAGGAAGTAAAACCCTGATAAAAAAACTTTTTACTAATGGGACAATGGTCAACTGTCCCGTATAAAAAGGGACATGCTGTAAAAATAAAGTGAGACACTTCTTGTAAGTGCCCCTGTGTCTCCGCACGTGTTTCTTCTTTTTCCTCGCCGACACCGTCTCCACCTGAGGGAACCCCTGGACCTGCGGGAGCTGGTCTCCCACAGCATAAGAAGGATAAAGCAGAAACAATGATTACCTATGGGGCGGGGGATAGGAAGAGGAATGGGTGACACTTCTCTGAGAATGCCTCTGACTTTTCCAACCATGTTAATGTTTCCCATATTCAAAAAGGGGACAGTAAGTGTGTATGAGTTTTGTTTCTCTATTTGTCTTGTTTGTTTGTTGCTCTCAGCTTTGTATCTCCCATAGGACAACTGTTCAGTGGTTACCAGAGGGTAAGGGGGGAAGGGAGTGGTAGATGAGGGTAAAGTGGGTCAAATATATGGTGATGGAAGGAGAACTGACTCTGGGTAGTGAGCACACAATGTGATATATAGATGATGTATTACAGAATTGTACACTTGAAACCTATTAATCATACTAACCATGTTACCCCAATAACTTTAATACTTTCTTTTAAGACGAACAGTAAAGATAATCCACAAAGATGGGGAGGAGAGAGAGGAACCAAAGTGTATTTCAAATGAATAACAACCATACTGAAGGGGTTACCTTATGTAACTTTATTTTTATAATTATTTTATTTTTCAATTATACTTGACATAACAATATTATATTATTTCAGGTGTACAAAACAGTGGTTAGGCATTTATATAACTTATGAAGTTATCACCCAATGAGTGTAGTACTATTCTGACACCATACATAGCTTTACCAAAATATTGACTATACTCCCTATGCTGCACTTAACCTCCCCATGACTTTCTTATCCTCTTACACCAGAAAATGAGAGAGTGCTCAAAGAATGGGGACACATCAAAAACACACAAGCCAGCTTGAAAGGGCTTCCATTGGTTAAATATGGGACAATTTGAGGAAAGAAAATAAATTATGATTTATAAATATTTACAAAGAATTATAGCCCAGTGGATAACATAAGAATCTGTGAGTTCATAGTGGTATTAACTAATTAATGGGAGGAAGTAAACTAATATATGTAGAAGAAATGAAAGAATTAGAAAATTTTCATTTGGCAAAATTGATTGAGGAAAGAATCATCCATGGACCCTAAAAGTAGTGGGTGAAAGTTTAAGGAGTAACAAGATATTTACATACTCTCAAATTATTTCCCCAGAAGACACATTACTTACAAAGGAAAAATAGTAATTTTACACTGGAGAAACCAGGCAGAATCAGCCTTAACTAAATGATCAAAGTTAACATCACCAGTAATGAGACACGGCAACATCACTGGCCCCATAAACTGACAAACTGAGAAAACCACATCACATCTGTGGTTTTCCTGTCAAATGCATTAATGTGGCTCCAATCATGAGGAAACACCAGACAAACCTCCAATGAGAGACATTCCATTTAAAAACAAAACAAAAACCTGGCCTAGCCTCTTCAAACATGTCAATGTCTCAGGGACAAGGACTGAGGAACTAACTGTTCAAGGGAAAGCAGACCAAAGGAAGACCACTGGAGGCACTGTGTGAGCAATGTTTTGTTTTGATGGTTGGGTTTTTGTTGTTGCTGTAAAGGGTATTCATGGATATAAGCCAATCAGGACAACGAGATGTGTAGATTACATAATAGTACTACAGTAATGCTAATTTCCTGGTTTGTGAGGATTAGAAGGTGGTTAGTAAAAATATAAGAATATAGTTCCTTGGTTTTTGGAGGTTTTTTTTTTTTTAAAGGATTTAGGTAAAAGGGCAGCATATCTATCATTTACTCTTGAACAGTTAGGGAGAAAATATATCTGGATAAAGAGAGAGAAAAGAATAAAACAAGTGTGGTAAAGTGTTAACATTTGGAAGAATGTGGTGTAGGTTATATGAGAGTTCTTTTTTCTGTGTAGGTTAAAATTAAAGGTTACAAGAAAAAGGTAAGCAGGTAATTGATGCTTGTTGGGGGTAGGGGTGGTGAGTCAAGATATGGTTAATATCTAAAAAACCACAGTTCTAGAATTTAAACCAAACTATGATGTGTTCTGAAAAGCTTTCCTAATTATGTTCTGTATATATCTTCTAAAGAATGTGATTTGGAATAAAATGGATCTACTTTAGAACCTTATTCAAGAACAGCTTCTCAAGTTCCCAAAGCGCTTTAATGTAAGTTAACAGACTCATCTAAGCCATGTAACCCAAAGTAAATTATGCTACATGGAGGCTGATATGCATGGCCTCACATCGGTTAAGCAAGTACCTTTCATCTAAAAGTTTGGAAGGTACATTAATTAACCTACAAATGTTTGGTTCTATTGAAGATTAATTATGGAAACTATTAAATATGAGTAAATAAAACTATACAAGAATACATGAAATTGGATAAAAATGAAAGCATTTCAGCTGTATTAGAACTTAGGCTAATGATATAGGCGCAACACTTCAAGAAATCACAGGAAAAAACCTGTAATTTATGAAAACTTGCTTTAGGCTTTAAAAACCACTACCTTTTCTTCAGAGCATTTCCAGAAAGTACTGTGCATACACAAGTCAGAATATTATAGCATGTGCTACAATGGAGACAATTTCAGCTGAGGATAGGGTTTCAAATATGACAAAGGATTTATTGTTGCTTTAAAATATTTCAACAAAACCTGTCTACCCACCCACACCCCCAAAAGGTGGAGCCTAGTTGCCCTCCCTTGAGTGTGGGCTGGACTTAGTGACCCATTTATAACAAATAGAATAGAGCAGAAGTGGCAGTGTGAGTATTCAAGACAGGATGCGGAAGGCACGTGGTTTCCTCCTTGCTCTCTTGCATCACCTGCTCTGGCTAAAGCCAGCGGACATGTTGTGAGGAGACTCAAACAGCCCTATGAAGACCTCAGGCCTCGGGCCAGCAGCCATGTGAGGGAGCCCCTTAGAAGCAGAACCACAGCCCCAGTCAAGCCTTCACATGGCTGCTGCAGTGCTGCTCTACAGCTTGACTGCAACCCATCAGAAACTCTGAGCCAGAACCACCAGCTGAGCGGCAACTGACTTCCTGACCTACAGAAATTGTTAGATAGGAGATGTTTGTTGTTTTAAGCTGCTAAATTTGGAGGTAATTTGTTACATAGCAATGATCACTAATACAGGATTTAATATTTATCTGCTTGTACAATTTTATAAAAATATTTATTGTGAAATCAGCTGAAACTGACTATGCTTTACAAATGTGGTTACACTGGACCCTTCAGTAACGCTGGGGTTAGGGGCTGTGACCTCATGAGCACTCGAAAATCCACACATAACTTTTGAATCCCCCAAAACTTCACCACAGTCCCTTGGTATCCCAAGGGGATTAGCTCCAGGACTCCCATGGACATCAAACTCTGTGGATGCTCAAGTCCCTTACATAAAATGGTGTAAAACTGCATACAGTCAGCCCTCCACATCTGCAAATTCCCAACTGCACATTGAAAATACTGTTTTTGATCCATGGTTGTTTCAATCTGCGGATGCAAAACCGGGATACAGAGGAGTATTTATTGAAAAATATCTGCAAATAAGTGGACACAGGCAGTTCAAACCCATACTGTTCAAGGGTCTACTGTACAGTCCATATTTCCAGGAATTGATAAGACCCAAAAGGGATAAATCAAAGCAGAATACAAACATTAAGCCATAAACAGAATATACAGACAAGTACTTAACATGTAAATGGATTAAAAAAAAGACTGTAAGGTGGGTAGCAGGAATAAGAGCTGTGGAGAGAAGAGAGATTAGCTGGGAAGTCTCAAGTACACACTGTCTGGGGTGAGGAGCAAAATATTTTTCAGTAAGTAACTAAAAAGGAGTACGGAATTTACTTGAAATGTCATTACCTTGGAAAAGTACAGTTCTTCCTCTAGAACACTTTGCACCTATACAAAGAGAAGCAAGGAATCTGAATATTTATGTAAAGTCTCTTGTCAATCAATTAAAAAAATTTGGGTCAGGTACAGCATGTCTGCACAGGAAAATCATGATACAGCATGTCTGCACAGGGGCCTTTAAGTGTTCATCTCTATTTCCCCTCCATCCCTAACAGGATTATCAAAATGTCTTCAATCATTCAGGCAGTTATTAAAACTCTATATAACAAACTTTTCCCAAGTCCACAGAAGCAAGATTGGTTTCTTCATCTGGACATTCCCATGCTAAGGCCCCATGCTGACACCAGAAGGCGACAGGAAGAGCACTGGCTCTGGAGTCCCAGCCTGGGACTGCAGCCTTGTCACACCTCACTGGCCACTAACAGCAGGCAAACTCTTCTCCCCATTCCGAATCTCAGTTGCCTTATTAGTCAAATGGGGACAACATCCAATTAACAAGTTTGTTATTACAAGGATTAAATGACATACAGAAAAGGCCTAGCAAAATGCAGCTACTCGATAACTAGTAGCTACTTGCTAATGACCTTTGTGCTTACGTGTATTATAAGTACATTTCCCAAACCAAGAAAATAAGGAATCAGATTGCCAGGATAGGGTTTTTTTTTTCTATCACATAATGATGCAAAAGGCTGTCCAGCAGATTAATGTGGATATATGACGTGTTATAATTTCTTGAATATTATAGTAGCTTATGAGTGGAGATCTGAACACTCAGGCAGTTAACAATCACTGGGGAATCTAGTCTGTGATCAATATTTACATAACACTTATCATAGTCTATGTAGTATTATTGTAAATGTTTGTTTCTCCTCTACCAAATTCTGTATTCTTTGATTGTTTACAAAATTTCTGTTTATATTTTTCCATGGCTCCTTACATACATAAGGCTGAATGAATTTCACTTCAAGTCTTTGATGTCTGCTCATATCAATAAATTCTTAAGATTATAAAATTCAGCCATCAGATCTTCCCCCCGACAACATGTGTGCACACCCATGCACATCGTATCATATCCTTGAACTAAAGCCAATGTTAGCTATCTAGAGAAATGGTGATTGCTCTTTGCACAACTTCTGGCACATAGTATATACTTAATGAATGTTAGCAGAAAGAACAAATGCAAGAGAACAAGAGCCCAGGAAGCATGGTGAGTTGCTCCAATTTAACTCCTAAGATCTCTTTACATGTGTTTATCTTTGCACAACTATTGATTTCCTATCCATGGTACTCCCTTACAGCTTCCTAACAGAGATTAGGACTCACATCTGTTTTATATGCCAAATTCCTTAGTATATGACACATGTGAGACCCAAAGTATATCGGCAAATAAGCAATAAGTACTTATATTCAGGTTCCTCTCCATTTATATTTGTGACTGTATCTCCTCCTTTTCCTTTCCTTTGGGTTCTGCCGATTTTACCCATCCTATTGTAAACTTCCCAGGTACAGGGATTATATTATTTGCTTACCTATAAACCTGCAAAGTACTTAATAAGAGACAGATTATAATCTTGATACTTGCTATTGACAATTATTTGGCAAACTGGACTCTGACATTAAAAAATAGTGGGGGGAGGCATCTAACACAAATTCAAAGCACAGAGCTATGCATCAGCTATTTGAAAGAAATTTTCTGTAGTAACTACACACGCACCCAGGTGTGTATAAATTTAGAAACAGTACCTTCTCTGTGGCTCAGCAGATATAATGAATTAAATTATACTTGAGACTTGAGACAGGCAATCATGCACAAGAACAGTATTCAGAAGCTTCAAAGGTTCACTGAAACAATGCTATGCACCAAACATTATGCCAATTCTGGAGAAGACAGAAGTAAGGAAGTCATGAGGTCTATGTACTTAGAAAGCAGATTGCGCATCCAGAGAGTCTGCAGGCTCTTATGTCCGTATCCTTCTCTAAACACTCTCCTGGTTCTCCATCAACCCCGGCCTCATTGGTAGTCTCTATGCTGGTTTCTCTTCTTTCATCCCTACTCTAAGTCAGTTCTCCAAGTCTGGTCCTGGAAATAGCAGCATCAGCAGCATCAGAGAACTTGCTCAAAATGCACGTTCTCCAACCCCACTCAGACCTACTGAATCAGAAACTATAATTGTGGGGCCCAGAAATGTGTGTTTCACCCAGGCCTCTAGGAATTTCTAATCACGTTCATGTACAGAACCAATCTAAGTTTCACCTACTGTTGATTCCCAAAAGTCCCCTTCCTTGTCCTTTCCAGTTCTCACTCTCCACTTTTCGGAGTACTTACAGCTTCTTCCTCTACCTCTACAACCATAACTATTACTACTTCTTGCAACAACGGTCATTCTTTACGTATTTATAAGCTAGGCATTGTGCTAATCATTGTGCACATGCTATCTTACTTAATCTCCACAACAATCTTTAAAGTAATAGCAACCCCTCATTTCAGAAGAAATTTAGGCTTAGAGCTGTTAAATAACTTGCCCAAGGTCACCCAACCCAACCAGTAAGTGACATAACAGAGATCTGACCTCAGGGTGATGCGAACTCCAAAGTCCACAGCGTTACCCACCAGCCTACCCCTAGAACAGTACTTCCATAGCCTTGGAGGCTGTCATTTTAATTACACTTATTCCTAAACTGTCTCTAGAGTAGAATTTCCAAATCCCTAGTGGATCTAACTAAACTCCAAACAGGGACCTCAAAATTAACATGCCATCATTTCTTCTCTCCATTGCAAATCTGTTCCTCCTCCTGTGTTTTCTAATTTAATGTCGTCATAACCACCAGTTAATCAAGCTGAACAAGTCCTCTTTGACTTCTCACTCTCACCTCTAGCTGTCATAACATTTAGAGATTTTAACATCTAAAATATCTCTAACAACCCATCCATTCGCACTGTCCTGCTTCAGGTTCCTGTCATCTCTCACCTACAGCCTAACTGGTCTGCAGGCCTCTTCACTATCATGCAATTTGCACACAAACTGCCAGTTAAACTTTCTGATCTGATTATCCTACTACCTTCCAAGAGTCTGCAGGGTCAACATGAGGGTGGGGGTGCAAGGGGGAAGTCTAGCTTTTTAGAATGGAATGGAGGACCCCTCATAATTTGGCTCCAACCATACCTTTCCTGTGTCATCACATCTTCCACACAACAAGCCTACAAGAAACAGCTCAAGGTTTTCCAAAGCCCATTCAGTCTTTGGCAACTTGCTTATTCTCTCTCCCCTCTGCCTGGAACCCTTGTTTCACCTTTTATATGTGGCAAAATTCTACGCAACCTTCGGGGATAAGTTCCATCCTCTTCTCTTTAAAGCTTTCTGTGACTCTATCAACTTTTCCCCAGCCAAAATGATACAGCACTAAAGCATTATTTTTATTCCAAAAGTGATTAACTCTTATCATAACATATGATTAGTGGTTTCCCTCCCCTGACCAACACTCACTATCTCAGAGAGTATACTGTGTCTTATTTTTTGTCTTCCCAGCACTCAACACAGGGCATAGCCACAGCCAGCACCCAATAAATAATTGCTGAGTCGTTAAATAATGCAACATTTAGTGTTGCAACTCTACACATCTTAGGTTAACAATTCAATTCAGGTTTACAAACTACTCAAAGGAATTTTCACATCACAAAACATACTGGAAAGACGAAAGTCTCAATATTTAGCAGCAGCATCCTTAATTTTGTCCAATCTTTTTGTAAATATTTTTTGTATCCTTCTTCAACCAGTGTCCTTTACCAGCTAACATGATTTGTATTCTTAGAGGATCAGCAGTAACTGCAAACCTCACAGGCCACTATAAGAGATAATCCCAGGCAAAACTGTGTCACTGAGAGTGGCTGGATAATTGCTTTGGGTGCATCACTTCAGCAAATTTCCAGTGGAATGGCCCAAGCACATCAGGCAGAGTTTAGAAATGGGGACATGCGCTGCTGACTAAACACATGAGATGTCAAGCACAACAGCGAGGCATTTATTGAAATTAGTCATTAAAATCAGAAGTGTTCAACAACCTGATGCTGGTTCTTCTATAACACTCTTTCATTTTAAGCAAGGATAACACGTTTTCTTGTGTAAGACTCTACTCTGAGTAGCACAACCCCCATCCCACCTAGCAAGCAGGCTCTAGCTTGTTATCAGTGGCATGCTGATAAGTCTGCCTTAGCCTTAACACTTTCTTTCCCTACCTGCTAAACCTTATGTCTCCAATATTCCCCTATCAGACACCTTCTGCTCCACTTTAGGGACAAGTATGTCTCCTCAATGTATACCCCAATGACCAAATTCACACTATTTTCACAACACATTTCTTATCTCTTCTCTAATTCAAATTTTATACTTTCAAAGACCAGCTCAAATCTTACCTCTTCCAAAGTGTTCACTAACTCAGCCCATCACAAGTGTTCTCTTTTCTAAATATCTACTGCACTTAAACTGGAGCGGCTCACATAGCACTTGTTTACATACTACCTCATTTGGATTCATAAATATTCTTATACATGTGCTTTATTTTCCTAGCTAGGCTGTTTGCTCCTAAAGGAAACGAGCCAGGTCTTCTATGTCATTTGTAATCCCACAAATCCTCCTCCCACATGTAGCATAACGCTGGGCACAAGGGGCACATGTATCAACTGCTTGAAGGGCTGAACTAAATGCTTGCTCTACAATGATCCACCACTTATACAGAGTGACATATAACAAACATTTACTGTTTGCTTACTCCATGGCAAGCTCTTCTGTAAGTACTGGGGATGTCGCCATCATGAAAACAGATGTGATTCCTGTCCTGAAAGCTATTCTAGTCCAGAGGGCAAGAGACATTGACTCTCTAGTGCTCTAAGCGTTACAGAGGAAGGTTATGACTGGTTCCAAGATGTGAGAACCTCGGCAATATACTTTACAGCTCCTCAATTAAGAAGCTGAATCACAGAATTTTAGAGCTGAAGCAATTTTCTACATTTTTCTTGCACAACTCATGATTAAATTTCAGTGTGGTCTATCTTTCTCCCAGTTCTAGGTGCAACAGTTAGAAAAGACGGACCTCTTCCCTACCTCCAATTCTACTTTCTCCCAGGATGGTAACTACAACCACC